TTAGGAGGAATATGTTTTCCTATGTTAATCTTTCTCCATGAAACTGAATCAAATGTAGCCAGGTTTCGGAAACAGTTTGACATTAAAACATTTATGTGATTTATGCATGCGTCCCAAAGTAGAATGACATTAATTTTTCATTTTAGAGTAGTTCTGTCCTATAGGACTTTCCTCAATAAAAATGTTCTAAGTCCGCACTGTTCAGTATGCTAGCCAACAGCCACACAGAGCTATTGAACAATTAAACTGTGACTAGTGCTGAATTTTTATTTTAATTAAATTTAAGTAAACACATGTGCCAACGGTTACTGTACTAGACAACAATTCTAAAGCATGGCATTACTTTGTGAAACTAATGTACTAGCGTTTTAGCCCAAAGACACTGATTGACAAAGTTTTGTAAACATGTCTCATTACTAAATTACCAAATAACCGAAACTGAGTACCGTTGACCCCTGAACAACATAAGTGACCCTCCCTGTCCCCCATCAAAAATCTGCCTATAACTTTTGACTCCCCCAAAACTTCCTTATTAATAGCCTGTTGACTGAAAGACTTACTGATAACATAAACAAAGGATTAACACGTTTCATGTAAGAGTTATGTACTGTATTCTTACAATAAAGCTAGAGAAAAAAATGTTACAAAAATCGTAAGGAAAATATTTACAGTACTGTTCTGTCTTTATGGAAAAAAAAGTCTGTGTATAAGTGGATCCACACAGTTATACCTGTGTTGTTCATGGGTCAGCTGTATTTTGCTAGTAAAACAGAACTACCCTCTATGACAACCAATCACTGTGACTATGATACATTTCAATACATTTTACCAGACGAGTATCTTATTTGACTGCTGAACAAAGAATTATGAATGGAAATTCTCCACAGTGTTTTCTAAACCTTGCCAGTATGCAATGTTTTTTAAACCTTCTAAAAGTTAAAAAATGAGAAAAGGGAATGTGTTCCAGTAGAGAGAAAGATCAGCAGTCAATTTCTGTGAAACATCCAAATAAAAGGTTAAGTTCAAACCTAAGACAACGATATGCTTGCAATGAGAAAATTAAGAAGAAATTTTGGGGGTTAATTTAAATAAAAAAAAACCTTTGAGGACTATAGAGGAAACAGTCAAATGTCTGCTTATAACCTTTACTAACTTACATATATTTAAAAATACGTTATGTAATGCAATATATTAATTCACAAAACAATTTTACTCTATTCACTTTCATCTTCTACTTATTGGTGTCTCTATGGTCACTTAAGCCACTCGGATCAAATTCCATTTTCTAGAGCCACAATTACCAAGTCAGCTATTACAGAGAACCTCTTGAGTCCATACATGATGCTCTCATTGGAAATCTCAACCAACAAAAGCCATCAACACCTCAGGAGGGCAGAACATTTTTCAGTTCATCACTGACTATATTGATTGATTGGATAAATATATCAAACTCACATCAACTGAAGTTATTTTCACTCCATATGTATTTCCCAAACAGCAACGTGTTGTTTAAAATAGAGTGACTGAGGGAAGCCTGGGTGGCTCAGTCCATTAAGCATCTGCCTTCAGCCAGGTCATGATCCCAGGGTGCTGGGATCGAGTCCACCATCAGGCTCCTTGCTCAACAGGCAGCCTGCTTCTCCTTCTGCCTACCTCTGTCTCTCTCTGACAAATAAATAAATAAAATCTAAAAAAAAAAAAAAAAAAAAAAAAAAAAAAGAAGCGACTCAGAGTGCCCTGTAATAGGAGAGACTTGAAGACTTGAACACGTGGTGACACTCTCCTTACAGAGGTATACATTCGGGGGGCACTTTGCCTTATAAGCAGGCATATACAGTATATCCTTGAAGCCAACTTTTAAGAGGGAAGGCTGCCTGGGATGAGCTAAGGATTTCTTCATGTCTTCTCTAAATGCTCTCTAAGCTTCCAGATTTGGAATGAAGTGCCTGTCTCTGCTAAGCAGTCATTTTCCTTTTCGAGTCACAGGCACATACAAAGCTGCCAGGACAAGTGGATGGATGGGCCTTCCCTGCTTTTAATCCAATCCCACACGACTGCAGGCACAATCGACACAATCTTTCCAAAAAACTAATCTGATGGCATCTGCTCAGCTTCAAAACTCTACTGCCTCCATCCGTGTGGAGGATAAAAAATTCACTCTCCCTTGTGTCATTCTGAGGTTACTCTGACCCACCTTTGTTAACTTAACTGATAGGTACCACCCCACTTTCTCATCTCAGGGGCTTTGCTCAAGACCTCTCCAGTAACTGGAGGTGCCCCCTACACTGGCACTCCAAGTTGGGTAAATCCTAGTCTTTTCCCAGCTCAGTTCAGCTTCCTCCACCACTGAATCCAGGAACAACTTCGTCTCATTGCTTATCATAATATTTGCTTCCTACACTACCACTACAATAACTAATACTTACTCAGTGTATGCCACTGGTAAGACGCTATTTTAATGACTGCACGTAAATTATCTCCTGCATACCTCAACAGCTTTCTAAGCTAGGTCATACGCTCAGGACAGGAAAGCTGAGGCCCACAGAGGTTAGACACAGTCCCAAGGTTCCATAGTGCTAGGATGGAAAGGTCATCTGGCTTCAGGGTCTGAACTCTTACCCTTTGCAATGTCCTACTGCCCAAAGGGTTCTACATTAAATCAGAGGCTTCTTGACAATAGTGAAGGCTTACCAGTTGCTCGTTGAGAGAATGATCCGAATAATTACAGGTAGAACAATTACCACCTGAGAAGATGAAGGGAGGCTGGCAAGGACTTCTAGTACTATCCACTGAGTAATGTTGGCTTAACAGAGGATCCCTAGGGCTCCCTTCCAGTGAAAATCAATCATCAAAACCAAAACCCTGTCTCTTTCTCCAAAGATGTCCTTCACAGGTGTTATGAAGGACATACGTTTGCAAAAACTATCCCCCACCCCAACTAGTTGCTGAGAAGTTAAGTGAGGCCTTTACCTAGCTTCACAGTGACAGAAGCACACATAAACCTCATGTTTATAGGCAGAAGCAACAAAACTATCCCAAGACACAATAACTTCATTTAATGTTTGATGACAAAGGAAAAAAGAAAAAAACTCAAGGCAAGCCCACCCTTTGGTATCCTAGTTTAACACTGATTTTTCAAGGCAAGAAAAATTTGTAATTCATAAAACAAATCAATGTTAGTACAGGCTTCCCACTTAACACAAAATATTTAGGCCTACAAGGAATCTAAAAAGGTAGTTTCCAGAAAGGAAATTACAACAGCTAATATTTCGTGTTTTCTATATACCAGGCATTTTCCCATTCATTATTTCTTCCTGTGGTAGCCTTTAAAAGATCCACTTCGAAGTCAGCAGCCATCACCTGGTTTTACAGAAGAGGAAACTAAGGCTCACAGATAGTTACACGGATAGTTACAGGGTTTCAACCTTAGCTCTAGACAGTCAGCAAGCCCCACGCACTACATTAAGTTTCTCGGAGTTTAAAGATGTGGCACAAACTCCCCTTCCTGCTCTGACTTTCAAGCGGGGCCGTGAGCAAGGCCGGGGAACGGCTGCCTTGTGCTCCTTCCACGCCACAACTCAGGCATGTCACACACTTGTATCACAAGAGAAGACAAACTCCGCCCTCACGGTTCCTCCCGACACAGCACCCACCTAACTGCTTGTTCGCGGGAGTCACCATTCCGAGATTTCAATCTGCAAGGTCAGAGTTTAGGTAACTTAAGACGAACGCCGCATGGGATGGGCAGACTTACCTTCTGATTCCAGAACCACACAAGCTGCGGGATCCGCAGTATAACGACACTTTCACAACTGATGGGAGAACTGCACGAAGCCTTCAAGCGCCCCACTTCCGCTAAGTCTAAAATGACACTATTTCTACCCCTCCACTGACTTCGGACCAGCGCCTTACCTAACACATTTTCAAAAGCCCCGGAGCTTCGCGAGCACCGCCCAAGCGCACCAATCGCTTGCTGTCAGGAGTTAAACCACCCCGAAGGCAACCTTGCAGGTCGGGGTCCTCTAGCAACGACCCGTCTAACTTGAGCTCTCCCCTGTCACATGTAGAGGTCGATTTCACACCCAGCCACCCGCAATCACCATGTGCGAAGTTTAATCCCGAGTTCGGCCAAAGGCATTTCCTTTTTCCTTAAATGAAAAGGAGATTCGGACCTGAGCTCCTGCCCGGCTGCCCGGCGCTCAGGACCCCTTCCCGGCGGGTGCCCGGCAGCCGCCCCGGCAGGACCCACCCCGAGCAGGAACGCGGAGCCCCCCAGGTGCAGCTGGCGACTGCAGGCCACGCCGCCCGCGGCCGCCTGGGACTCGGAGGCCGAGGGCGGAGGCGCGGCCGCCGCGCCCGCGCACAGCCGGCCCCGCCCGCCCGCCCCGCCCCCACCGCCCCGCCGGCGGGAGCTGCGGGCGCGCGCCCCGCCTAGG